TCGAAGTATTAAAGTCAGCTACTAAATCCAGGGAAGCTGACTAGTGCGGTGTTGGAGGGGAATTTTTTAAATGTGACATCATGAACCCTTTGCTTCTCTCTTTGCCTTCTGAACAAACACACTGAAAGAAGTCAAAACTGAAACTTAGCTTCTGGCTAGCTCAAAACTGTGGGCAGAAAAGTTGTTCTAAAAATAGTGCCATATTAAGTATTTGAGTTGAGCTTTAGAATGATTGCAAATAATCCTGGAGAGCTAAAAGGATTGGTCTTGATGCAATTTGCATTCATCTTTTCAACAGAATCACACTTTCCAGTTTCAATATTGTCTGTGACATGTTTTAAATCACTACTAACCAATACACTAACGACTAACCCTTCCTCAAAATAAGGCGAGACATCCAAACTAATCAGCCTGTTAACTAGCTACAACTATCCTAAAATTGAAACTAGACTGGAAAGTACAGTATCAACTTAAGTTGATGAAAATATGAACCATCAACCTAGTTTACCCCTCACACTGTTTGTATAACAAATCATACACAGGAACATGTTGTAGGGGAACTTGTATTGCTTCTTACCAAAGATTATTTTCCATGGACACTGACCTTAAACTGGGACTGAAATTAAACTGCACTGCATTAAGGCTGCGCACAATATCCCAGCCAATGAATGTGCTGGCATGGGGATGACTAAAGCTAAAAAGACAAATCTATAGATCTGTATATCCCAAAACTCTCCACATGGCCTTAACATAACAAATCTTCAGCTGACTCTCATTGCAGGAGCCACATTCAATAAACATCATGCTGCTTTGAAGCCTAAACAGGTCTTTCTGTGAGATGGAGCCCTACAAGGGTCAAATAAGGCTGCCTACCTTTGTAAGAAAATGCTTCTACAGTATGTCTACTACAGCCATAACGAGAAATTGGAATTGCAATTGGGGAACAATGTCATTTAGTGTCAAACTAAAAAGCTGAGTCAAAGACTGGGAACGTTTATTTCCTCTCTTTCTGATGATGAAAATGCCGACGCAATTTAAGAAAGGCCCATTATACGAGGCTTTAGGCTTGATTGCATAGAGTCATTTATAAGATTAGCCCTCATTACATGTTTGACTATAATGTTCCTTTTTAGGGCAATTATGAGAAGTTCCTTTATTTAAAGGGTATTAGACTGTGAGGGTCTACAGAAAGCTTTAGTCTGAGTGTGCTGGCACCACTGGAGGACAAATGGGCAGAAACGATGATTGTGGGAAAGTGGTTTCATTTAGAGTTGAGCTTTTCTTGAGTGGAAACCAACAAAGTCAACACAACGTTCTACCCAAAACGTCTAAAACATGCTCGGTGGAACACCAGTTTGAGTTGTAGCACAAAATAAAACCTGACAATGAAACTGACAACACTACATCAGTTCCGATTTAACGAACGAGGTGTGATGTGGTCAAAGTCGGTGGGCTTTTTGTCGCTTCTCAACGATACTGAGCTGTTACATCCTCGAAGCAGTAAATTCTAAAGGGCTCCACTGTTCATTTTAACTGCAACATTAGTCTCCGGATATGTGTTCTTCATACACTCTTTAAACACCTTCCTGTGGGCCCATGACAGCAGTTTCTCACATGCGCCAGACGACCTGCAAAGTAACCACCATAAGTGAAACATTATAAGCTTTGACTGTGCCTTCATTGGATACTATTAATCACACTAAGAGCCCAACTGTATGGCATGATGCTTTGGCACGGCTATAGATTATTAATGTGGCTAATGTATTGAAGGCTCACAGTTGATGCCAGCTTTTAGTACAGAGGACAAAGGGTATGAATAAATTGCTGCGCACATAGCATTCTGTGAGAATAAAAGACATTCCAACGATATAACCTTATTTGTATTACATTAGGTGGGATATGTATGATCCATGCATTGGTTTAGCCTATGTTGTATATTCAATGTTTGAACTTGAGCATAACATTTAGTGAGTGTTGAAAAATGTCTCACTTCCTTATAATCCAATGTACTTCTATACCCTTGAATCAAGGACCAATGCCAAGTTTCTATCTATCCATCTATCCATCCATTTATATATCCATCCTTCCATCCATCCATCAGCCTATCTATCCATCCATATAGATGAATAAAGAAAAGAGAAAGGTAGAGGGAGAGGAACAATAGAACAAAGAGAATTACTAAAAAGAACGGCGTAAAGGAAATGAAGTTTTGTCTGAGACTCTCATCCAGCTTTCACACTTGTGCTTAACATGGGGAATGTAAACTGAAACAAATGTTCAAGTCTGACACGAAGAGTTTCACAAATGATGGTTATCAAACACAAGTCCTTTGCACAGTCATTAACTTGACCTGTATCAATAAGAAAAACAATAAAGAAAACAAACTGTCTACTACACTAAACAGTAATGCAGAGGGTTAGCTGTGTCTGCACGGCCTGAAACACACATACTGTACACCAAGGCATTACGTCAGCAGAGAAGCATGAGAATTCATGCTGGTGGTTTTATACGGTCTACGGACCACTGCCGTATCCAAGAAACTCACTCACACAGAGACGTAGTCAGTCAACACACACCTTCCAAACTGCCCAGCCCTTCCTATGTGCCCGTACTGCCCGCAGTGTGGTTGTGTGTCTGTGGTCAGGCATCTATCATGAGGTGCATGGAGGAGGGGGTTGACTGGAGCACTGTTTCCCTGGCAGATGGTAATGATGAAAAATGTCTTCTCTGAAATCCAGTCCGGCACGGGCTCCCTGCCAGTGGTTGTACGCCATTCCCACACAACCAGGAGTCATGGGTAATGCTGCTGCTCTCCGGGCAGGACAGGGCTGCGTTACATTTATGTTCGACTGGAATGCTTCCAAGGAATGTGCGGGTCACACATCATACGAGTGACGACAAATCTGATGTCAGATATTGCGCACTACAGCATATGAGAGATGTTCAAATCCAGTGGTTCCCAAGCTTTTTTTAAAGACATATCCCAACAGCTCTATCAGATAAACTCAAGTACCTCTTCATCAACAACACTCCGAATGAGCTTTTTTGTATGTATCACTTGGATACAGAGTATTCAGGTATTCATTTGTTCTACTAGTGGTGGAAGAAGTAGCTATTTCAACCGTGTATCCTTTGCTTCGGGTTAGATAACTATTTTTAAATTCATTATTTTTAGCCTACTATTTAGACGTCTCTGATCGATCACTAACTTTTTTTCAAACACTATCAATCGCAACAAATGTCTTTAAGTTACAATAGACTCAATATATATATATAATTTGTATATAACATATCAGTTCAGCTACAACATGATATTTCCATGGTTACTACAGATGTCACCCCTATAAGGTAACTAGCAGTGGTTGAAAATGACTGTTCTAATCAATACTTTAATACCAACAATGGTTTAAATTACTTTATGAAATGTAATAAATGACTCACAAAACTCTGCAGTTCCCCCCAGCTCTATTGAATGTTTTATCTTCTTTTAGTCAAAGTCACAGCTAGAAATGGTCCTTATTTAGCAACCTAACATTTGGGGCCTACCTTGTTCCGGGGGGTCTGCTTTAGAATATAGATTTAAGACCTAAATGTAGTAGTGCTTAATCCAATTACCACAAACCAAACACACTATGGGGGTACTGGCTGGCTTCTAGGTTTTTGGGTTTAAAGCTGCCATGTGTTCAGCCATGCATAGTTGCGCTTTGCACTGTGCTTGGAAGTGACGGGGTACAAAAACAATGCATAGAGAGTTGCTAGTGTACATGGACCATGAAGCTTTGAGTGATTCGACTCAGTTGACTGGTGGAAGACCGTTCTATAACATCAAAGAGATTATAATTGCAACATCAAAAAGTACCTGCCATTGTGTTGCAACAAAACTATAGTACATTAATGTTTTTATAAAAGCCACATTTGAAGGACTATTCAAGGCTTATCTTTCATAGTTTAATGTGGGGCTGGCAAAACAAATAAGAGTCCATTAGGAACCCAGACATCCACAAAGACAGGGCTGACAGGAGAAATCACAGTTGTCAGCGTACATAACTACCTTACAAATCTCCTTAAGAATATGTTCAACGTTTTCAAACTATGCACTTATTCTTTTTCTCCCCAATTTGAAGCAAATTGGAGACAATTGTGACTCACTCTACTGTACGTAAGTGCCAAACATTTCCAAGACACTGCTGGGTTTCTCACGCCTGGGGCGATGTTTTCTCTGCAACAACTTTTGCAAGGTCCTATTGTGAAACACTGCGGCAGAGTTCATGAGCTGCAGACCCACCAACACTGAAATCAGTGGAAGAAGGCTTACATTCCCTCTTTCATAAATACAGTTTTCATAGATTAAATATGACTTTCTACTATAAAAGACTGATGGCAGTTTCTTTTCTAAACTGTGCTTTGACCTCTGGGTCAAAAAAGGGGGTGAGCTTAATAAAGTACATTGAAAAACAGGCCCACATGCACGCTACAGTACTCTCAATAGGTACTGAGAACAGACATAAGCCACCACTCTCATTCCAGCTACGACCATTGGGCCACCAACCACAAAACATGGCAAGCCAAGGAGACCACACAGACACAAGGAATGCTTTACAGTACATACAACGTCTACAGTAATGCAACAAAAACAATGTCCAATCCAGCTCTCTTACATGCCTCTTCACACACATTCCTGTAATGTGTTCAGCTACACAGAAGAAGCGCAATGCACTGTGTCATCCAAACATGATGATTGTATTACTTTTCAGACACAGAAATCCACACGTTCTACTGTATGAATGCAAGTAGAAACTGAACACATACAGTAGGACCTAGTACTGCTCATATGTCATACATGCCCAAAACAACAGACATAGAGCACTTCCTCCAAATAAAGCCATAATGCGGAGGGTTTGCTGTGAAACAGAGCAGAGCCAACACTTGGGACAGCCCGGTGTTCTGATACCAGACAAGCAGCAGCTCTTCCCCCCCTCATACAATCACACAGTCCTTACCTGAAACACTGCGGTGGCCATCCTGTGTTAGTGTCTGTGTCGTTCTGTCTCTCACTCTTTGGTTCTCTTTGTGTGTTAGTGCTGCATCGTCCTTATCCGCTCCGTGCAGCAGAGAGGATTTTTCTCTGCGCTCCGACCAGATGGCTAAAGCTAAATCCACTCACTGTTACCTTGGTGCAGCGCGGAGCTGGAGGAGTGTACAAGTGTGTGTGTCAGAGAGAGAGAGTGTGTGATTCAGGCTCCAGGCTAATAAGTCTGGCAAGTCTCTCCCTCTCTCACTCCTCCTCCTCCAAGAAAATGAGCATAAAAATGTCTAAAGAGTCTTTATGTGAGGGGGAGAAGTGCAGCCAAAGGCAAATCTTAACATCCCACAACTGGAAACGGCGCAGTGCAGCACTCAGCGCTGAATAAGCAGGCAAAGTCTGGCTACAGGCGATTTCCCTCTCTTTCTCTGCCTGGGTTTTTCTCCTCCCTCTTGTTCAGTCCGGTTTCAGCCTCCTCCCAAAACAGGGGAGACACATGAGTGTAACGAGAAAGGAGAAATATACTGAAGTGAATTTCCCAGGGAGATCAGGGGGAACGGGACGTGAGCACGGGAAACAAAAGCACAGCTATTTTCTTCCTCTGTCTGTCTTTCTCTGACACACACACAATCACACACACACTCCTTCCTCACAAGCTCATTCTTTATTCGCTCCTTGTTATCAGCTTCTCAAGTTACAGGTTAAATATGAGTTGCACCCCCTACACCCGCCTTTTCTGTCTTTCTTTGACTTTCCCTCTCTCTCACACACACACCCACACACAGACCCACACTCACTCTACAGCTGCACAAGAGAGAAAGTACTGTACCATGAATGAATCCATTGACTTCACTGGAACTCCGTCAGTCAGACAGTGTCAACAGCAGTGTGGAGATACACACGTATCGGTCTTTCAGATCGCAGAGACAATTATTCATGAGGGCCTTATTCCAGGAGTTCAGTCTCATATTGATATGCTATTGTTATGAGATATGGATGTGAAGTTTAAAACTTAACAACATGCACAACAATATAAAGTAATGTACAATTCGGTGAGAAAACTGAAGTCAACTGGTGATCACAACAGTACCTGTCCCTGAATCTAATTCCTAGGAACTAATACGAAATATTTATTCATCATATTTAAATTAGATTGTATTCAACATTTGTGTGCATTCTTTTTTTAATTACTTTTGGGCACCCAGTTCCTTTATCAGAAATATGTTAAAGGCGGAGCCAGAGGGGATGACCCATGTAAATGGCCCCGAGGGCGGAGGCGAACCCCGGTCAGTTGGACGAGGACTTGGCCTTACTTCATTGGCTGGCAGTTCTACCAGGTGAAATTTCTGGCGACCCTAATTGTTGTCCTTTTTGTCAAGATTAAATTAGCCTTTGAATCTGCTGACTTGATCCTTCACTTTCTTTCACTGAAGAATTGTATCTACTCCACACTGTATCCTTGCAAAATATACATTAAAATAACGACATGTATGACAAGCTTTTTGTAATTGTGACAAACTCATTTGCTTCCACATTGGAGAACTTGATTACATTTAAGAGGTTGGTAAATGCCCTGCTCTGATGTTGCTACGGTAACGTTTGACCCCAAAGAAGCTGATTCAGTCTCTTGATGAGGCTCACTACTTCAACTTCCTGACACTCAGTCAATCAGATGATTTGCTGTGCAGCTTGGAAAACACAGATATAAATGTACTTAAATTAAACATTATGTCACATTTTAAAAGACTATTGGTCCTTTGTCATTAGCCAGCAATTTGTGAGTCTTCTGACAACCAAATGTTCTCGTCTTTAAGGCTCTTCTGATTCTCTGTTTGTACACAAGAAAAATATAGTGCACTTTAATATGTATATTATCCACTTTATCAGGATATTTCTCTATAAAAGCAAAATATTTTGGGCTTAATCTGTATGTCAACCAAAGCAAGACTATCAACCAGATAACCAATGTTCATGGGCCTTGGCCAACCAAAACTCAACCCTGACTTTTGTTTGACTTACTATGGATATGTAAAGTAGCATGCAAATAACACCTACATGTAACTCACGTGTAATACCCATGTTTATTTTAACCCCAATATTTTCCTAACCCTAACCCCAGTATGTCGGCTGCCTGAACATGTTCAGCACTGCAGGGGCATGCAGAGGAATATTAATCGTTGGGAATGCACGAGAAATGCAAGACATATCAAACAAAACTGTTGTATGAGGATATGTTAACTGTCAAATCACAAAAATGTAACTTCTCTCATTAGATAGAACAATTTAAATTCTGTGACTGTGAATCAAAAGCTGCCTGTGACTTGAAATCAAATCAAATCAAATCAAATCAAATCAAATCAGGTTTTATTTATAAAGCACATTTAAAAGCGATTTTTGGTCGAGCCAAAGTGCTGTACATGTAATAAAAACACATTACTACAAAACACAATAAACGACAATAAATTACAGCATATAAAACTTAAAAAACAAAATAAGAATAAAAACACACGGAAAAGTCAGGAGTCATGCTCCGCTCTAACTAGAAATGTAATGAATGGAATCCAAAGTCATTTCCCCAATACCAAACATGTCTCCAAATGCTGTTTGCTACAATTATCAGTCAACATAGTAATGTCTAACCAATTGAATTTCATCCACAAATTGAAATATGAGCTTTAAAACACTGGCTTCCATGTCACGTGGAATCAAGATGAGAGTCAGGTTGTACAGAAAGTATGGTAAGCACTCTGGCATTTTAATTTGTTTCCTCCAGTAGCAGACAAAGGGGCATTACTGAAGAATGTTTGGTACAGATTTGTAGCACATTAAGTACCACGCCTCAACATGGAAAGAATGGTCGCCGTCTTTGATGTTGCTCAGAAGTAATTACACGGAGGGTACTTCTAATAGCAACACCTTTAGCTGGAGCCGTGTTCTCCAGATGTCGGCCCAGAAAGCGTTATTTTATTCGCTATTAATGACAAGGGCCAGGAAGGAAGCGGGGGCTGCCACGGAGGAGACGTATGCTTTATGGCACCAAAACAACATGCTTGTTTATGTGAGATGCATACCTTCATGTAGGGATCAGGCAGGACTGTAGGAGTGGGAATCCCCTTGTTTTGTTTGTGTCTGTGTTTGTACATGTGAGTCAATGCACTTAGAGCTCTGCGTTGCCACACTGCAATGCAATTATGCATAAAGTACCAACAGTTACGCTATCTGTCGGGATTGCAAAGCATGGGAATGTAATCCGTCTGTGTTTGAGGCCAGTTTCTCTTAGTCTAGTCTATTTCCTGTGACCTGGCTTCTATTCATCATCCCGTGACTGCTGTCTGTAATCTGAAGGCCAATGATCCTTTGTTCTAGCATGAGAAAGACATCATTTCAAGTCAATTGGACCGAGGAATTGTTGCTGGATCCCCAACATTAGCGTGAAGCCTTACTGTACGTAAACAGAGAAATAAGCTGGGGTGTCGCTGTTCTTACATTTTCAATCATTGAAAACAAGGTGGAAATGTTGAGTAAGCAAACTAGAATAAATTGTGATATATTGGTCCAATAGAGTGTTGCATTGATGACATATTTTTGTAGGCCGCCCCGGAAGTAAGCGTCGCAAAGGCTCCCTCGATAAAAAAGCAATGGATTTGATATAGCAGAAAATAAGAAGGATAGATTATAAGGATAACTCCACGTTATTAGCACTTTGGGAATTTTGATGCATAAATGCAATTGCCAGAAGAAAAAAGCTAACTTTATTCTGATACTTGTTAGCAACCCCTGCTTATATGACATGTAGAAGCTTCAAACATACACAAGTGGGGTATTTACTGATGTGTTTCTCTTCAGCTTGTGTTAACCACTGACCTTATTTCAGGCATCTAGCAAAAAACAGGTTAAAAAAACTGCTGACTTCGAGACAAGTGAACCGGAAGATGTGAAATGCTAACTAATCTCTGGGTTTGAGGACTTGTTCCTGCACCACTTCATGTGAATGTTGCAGTTGGCTGAATGACAAGGAACGTAAGAAGCAAGGACAGAAAAGAAACAAAACAAGTACAACAGTCTTGGGGAAAGTGTCATAGAGAGGAAGAGTTAATGTAGGGTAAACTAAGAATAAGACAGAAAGAAAGCGAGGGACGTAGAGAGAGTATTCTGTCGGGTGAGGTCCAGTTTCATGAGTCTGACTCAGGCTTTCCCAGGCAGCAGCCGAGCAGCTCCCTGTCCCCCAGCGGCCAGGGGAACGTTCCACCAACGCCCATGCAGCGCATACAGACCAGATTTAACATGGATGTTTCTCCTGGATGGTCGTGATCAGACAGCAGGAGCACAGACACAGTGGAAGAACATAGATGGACATGGAAAAGAGATGGACAGGCTGGAGATATATGGGTGGGGATGTTGAACAACAAACGTCTCCTTCAGAATGTACTGAGGAGGTGTTGAGTCATTTCACACAGCTGAAGATTAGGGGGTGCTTCCTCAGCAACTGTTCCTTATGAATAATAATGGATTACTAACTTTGTAGGGCAATTACATTTCCGGTAATTTATGCAACGGCATGCTCAACGAAGTTATTCCCTTAACTTATTCCTTCCACCGCTGTCTTCTGCTTAAAGTTGGCCCATTGTTGACATTCTTTCCAGAAACTCTTGATTACTCCATCATGTTAAAGGCTGGGCGTTCCTGTTTGTTTTTTCTGCTGTATCTATGCACATGGAGCTACCATGCAGTTACTAAATACATGGCCATAAGCCACTGCTGGTTGTGTAACCACTTTACTCACACACTGGAACGGGGAGAGATGACAGATGATTGTTGTTGTTTTCCATGAAGACTACAGATCAGAAGGCCTCAGTTTTGTTTCTCTGAGCCGCAATTGTTGCTGTTAAGCTTGTTATTGAGCTTAAGTCTGCAACAGTATTTTGTTCTCGTGGTCAAAGTTAAAGCTGCACAGATAGTTATTGTTGCAATGGATTAAATTAGGTATATGTATTGTGAAAAGTGTCTCGCTCAACAAACCCATAGAACTACTGTATCACTCATTGAGCTGTTTTTGTTTGATCTCAACAGTCGCATACACACAGTGCCAGAAACATGACTCCAATGTGTGTTTGCTGTATGTTTAAATAACTCACTTTTAGCTTAACAAACTGGGCACTTTGAGGAATATATCATCGATTAGCAGGGTACTTTGCGATAGATATTCTTCCATTAACACAATACGAAAAAAGAAAAAAATTGTACTATTTGTCATTTTGTGTTTCTAATGTAATGGTATTGGCTAAAAAGAGGTGTGGAGATGGTTCCGGCTATACACATTTGTTAGCTTTTCTTAACTCTGATTCAGAAAGCCAACAGCGCTAAAGTTGGATTTGTTTAACATCTAACTAACTAACTAAGCGAGTAAAGCGTTTCTTTTGACCAAGCCATAGTTGGTGATCATTGAGACATGTTTGGTGTGTTTTATTTTGCTACTGTTGGGTTTGAATGATGTGTGTTCTACTCTGGGATAACAAGGCAATTAAGCTTCACATATAAGGGCAAATACATCGGCATCTGTCGGTTTTTGAGTTCACGTGGCCAGTTGAGAGATTGTAACATAT